TATATATACACATACATATAAATATTTTTATTATTATTATTTATCAGTGCAAAATGAAATTTAGAAAATAATATTATCATGCAACACAAGTCAATAATCGCAAAATATAAAGCTTATTAAATTTTCTTTTTTTCTTTATGCATTCCTTCCTATTGTGATAACCAACGGAACTTTTAACTTTTCACTACACCAGCCACAATTACTTGATCCTTTTATGGCATCAGCCGCCGATATGAGCAGTATGTTCTGTGAGGATGTCCCTTGCGAAGACCGTATAAGAATATAGAAAAACTTAAGCAGTAAGTGAATTGACCAACCACAATAAAGACCGTAAGGCTGATGTCACGTTGAGTGATTCATGCATAGCGAAACAAAATTCCACCAATCGTAAAGTACTCGTATTAATAGAAACATTAGATATTGCGCAGAAAATATAGAAGTACTTCGTGATTGAATTTTGATCCGCACGCACCGCTTAATGTGACATCAGCCTAAGGCTGATTTAAACTTAATTTTGCGATCCCGCTATTTCCTATTATAAAGAAATTGGTTCTTGGATGTGACTGAAAAGATTCATTTATGCTTGAATTCTTTTAATTTCTTCGAGATGTCAGAGCTAATACAAAAATGTTCATTAGTTAGAATATCGCATGATCTAAGAAAATGCATGAATATGCCAAATTAATTGAAAACTAATATAATTGGATGTTTCTGCTTTTTATTATTACTTTAAGAAAATGGGACCCTGTATTTTTTTCTGTTTTCAAAAAATTTACATGTCAATTCTTACATTATGCATTATATTAAGTCAAAAATAATTGACGTATGTCAATGTTGGAACATAAATTTAATTTATCGATCCTTCTTTTTGCCATAAAACTAAAAGGAAATCGACTCCCGCATGTAACAAAGCGTTGCAGAAGAGGTTATGCTTGAATTTTTATATTATACTTCCTCCGAGATATCAGTATGTTATTCCTTAATGTATTCATTAGTTAGAATATCGCAAAATTTTTGATAAATTAGTACTTGTGTCATATTATCGAAAACTAATTTAATCGTATCGTCCTGCTTTTTACTGTAACACCAATCTTGATATCGTATATTCATCCTGTTTTCTACAAGATCTGAAAAATTTTCATCTGAACATAACGTACTAGATTATATTGTCTTAAAAAGAATGAATTTAAAAAATTATATTGTACATTTTAATTCAGTGTAGATTATCAGATAAAATGATCCTTATATTTATTGTTACATATATGAAAAATATATGGGACCGGTCTTTGTAATAGACTAGTCCTGCTTTATAACGTCCTGTATATATGTATGAACTAGGGCCGGTCTTGACATGTTACTTACGTAGGCTGCTGGAAAAATTTCTGCAAACAATATGAAAAACTATGTAAAATTCGGTAAATGGCTTTATTGTTTTTCGAAGTATTCGCCTTTAAGATCGATACATTTTTGTATACGCTCGAACCAAT